ACAACGCCGATGGCAGTGTGGATGCTCCACACTCTTGAGCTGTTATCTTGATCTTCACACACTTTGAAGTCCTTGCAGCACTTGTAGCCAACAATGCTCAACGGCAACTTCGATATACGCTTCAGTAGGTTTCTTGCGAGAAAAATTCATCTCGAGTCTCAACTGACAGACCACCTTGTGGATGTCGCGGCCTTCCATTCTGTTTTCGCTGCGGCAATGACCGCAGTCTTGCATCGATTTTGAAACCATCGATGATTGCCAAGCACGCCACTGTGTGCGAGCAAAGCCAGCCACTTGAGTAGTATCCTGCACAATCGCAAGAATATTTCAGGCGCATAGAGCCGCACTATTGACACATTTATTATATCTCACTTTCCGCAATAGACTACAGTGAACGGGGAAATTTAAGCCACACCGAAGAATTTCATTACTTATACTTCGAAAAGCCAATCATAACGAAGAACGCAAATAAACATATTTAATTGGCCAAAATAAGAATCCGCGCCAAATGAAAATATAAAAGACCGCGAAGCAGCTCGGTACGGTTTGTGCTTGACCGCAATCCTGCTTGACCGCACTCCAATGCTTGACAACGTTGTTCGGCGCCATACGTACCCCATTTCCCTCAAGCGCAAAGCCTTGGAGCTCCTGAAGGACTTTTCCTTCCGCAAGGTAGCGGACCTGCTTGGCGTCTCGTACAGCTGTGTCCGGAACTGGCATCGTAAGGCGGCTCAATTGCAAGCCTACAAAGGCAACCAGCGGAACCACAACGTCCAAGGTGCTGGTCGTCCAACAGTCCTACCACAACCCGAGTCTCTCTTGGCCTTTATGCGAGCTCGTCGATCCCAAGAGAGAGCCTTGACATGCACTCACATGATTGGGTTCCTCAAACGACATCACCAAGACTGGATCGTACAGTACACGTCGCGCCAAAAGCCAGGACATGGGTACAACAACCTGTTGTCGTTGCTTCAAGACTTCTGTGAGCGCAATGGGTACACGCACCAACTCGCTTGCAAGGCCAAGAAAGTCCTGAGTGAATTGGAAAGCACACGAAGCGAATTTGCCACCGAATTCCATGCCAAGTATGGTACGTACACTGACGACGTTGTCTACAATGTTGATGAGACAGGTATCCAGTTCGACATGCCACCAAGATACATTTGGTCCGAGCGGGGTAGCGGCGCGAAACTGACCAAGGGCGAGAAGCACTCTTACCGTATGACGGCGGTGCTAACCATTCGTCGTGACGGTGTGAAGCTCCCCATCATGTTCGTCATCAAAGGAAAGCCTCTTGCCGTCATCGAGACAACCGAGTTCGCCACATATCCGCCTGGGCATTTCTACATTATGCAGAAGAAGACGTGGATGGACACTCAAGTATGGGAGCAGTACCTCTGGTCCGTTCTGGCCGAACGTGTCGAACGCGAGTCACTGCTTGTTTTGGACAACCTTGAGTCGCACGTGTGTGAAGCATCCATTGCGACCGCCAACATACTGGGCTACAACGTCTTCCCGGTGCCGCCCAATTCCACGTCGCACTGCCAACCGCTTGACGTGTCCGTTATGGCGCCCTTCAAGCGAAATCTTCGGGACCTATGGATTGCTGAAGATGCTGTTGACGACGACGCTAGCGACGAAGACTGGTACTCACCAAGTGCGCGAGCCAAAAGGATGACAATGATCACCCGTGCAATCAAGGCATGGGACATGATCACCCCCGACCAAGTGCGTGGCAGTTTCTTGAAGGCGATTCCACAACCGTAGTGTAACATGGTATAAGATGGCGACAATCGTGTTTTGGCTGCCATTTGTCTTGTAGAATGAATCAAATTAGTTGCAAGCGATGCGTCCCGTCAAGACAAAGCGATTCGCACTGGTTTCACGTCAATTGATGAAAAAATGGA